CCACCCCTTGTTACACTCTGTATCGCTTCAACTAACCTTTTCACCCTTACAACAAACAGCTCCAGATCAGGCTTCCGTCCATGCTCATCCGCCGGGACGGCCTGGTGGCGCAGCCGTACCCGAACGCGTCAAACGTCGAGCAGCTGCTCTCGTCGGCCAGGCTCGCGCCGCCCACGAGCGGCTACGCAATGAACCCGCTCCAGCAGCGCGAGGCCATGCAGAAGCGCCAGTACGAGGACACAAGGGCCGAGATCCTCACAAAGGCCACGGCCACGGCCGGCCAGTCGGGGCAGTGGCTTGCGAAAAAGATGTTGGCGGTATGAGTGGGGGTATGTATGATGAGTATGTGCAGGGAAAGGGGTGGTGTGTTGGGAGGGTCTGGTGATACACACCGCATCGGTTGGGGAAAGTTGGGCATGAATTTGTGGGCTCTTATGGCGTTCTGGCCGGTTCAGGACTGGGAGTTTATTCATAGGGTGGCTTATTCGGTGTTTATGCTGTTATAATTGACTTTGGTCTTTCATATGCCTCTTCTAGATTCCGGAGGCGTCGGGAAATCGGGACGTCCGATGCTGCCTGACGAGTGGCGTCCCCGGCGGAGCATCTATAAATGGATTCAGTCGGGACCAGGGCGGTTCCTTCACTCAGATGAAAATAGCTGCAGCGTATTTAAATATTTAAAGCTCGTTATTATCCTTTACTCAGTCCCTGATTCTCCTCTACTCAGTCCCTGATTCTCCTCGAGTACATACATGTCCACCCACCAAGACAACGCTAGTCTATGCTTCTGCATGACAATGTTTCTTATTATATCTACCATCTAAGAAAACAGAAATCATAATGTCCAGTGCCAAATGGCAAGCAAAGCCCATCGGGGCAAAAGCCAAACGAGGCTTAAAAAAGGAAACGGGAAACTGGCCAAGCAAGCATGGGTATCGTGAAATGGAAAAAGTCGTAAACTCAATGGCGAGCCCTGATTCCGCGGTATTCGTAAGACAGCTCGTGTCGCGTGTGTACCATGGTCGTCCAGGGATTAGATGGCGGATGCGGGAGAGTTGTTGCCGGTGCGGGTTTTGTTGTATGCCTTCTCTTGCGCTCTCTTGAATCGTATGTCGCGTACGCGCTCTCGCAACGCCCTGAATCTATCCCTGATCCTGTCTCACTTCCTCTTGCTCGGCTTCTTGGAGTCGGCCGCGTGGTCCCAGGCCTTGACGACCCACTTCTGCGTGGCGTCGACGTATCTCTCGTCGTCGACGTGCTTGACGCCGACGCGCATACCGTCCTTTGTGAAGACCACGTTCTTCTTGTTCATGCGGTCGCTCGCCTGCTTCTGGATCTGGTTGGACGTCAGGTAGATCTGGTACCCGACCCAGCCCAGGCCGCCGACGATGGCGAAGAAGATGACGAGAGGAAGGAGCTGGCTGTTGTTTGGGGAGGCACAGATGAGTTAGTTTGCGATTTGGGTTGGGGTTTCTTTTCAGACTTCAACGTGACAACGGCGGCGCATGCGCATGCGCATTGCGCCATCCTAGCTCCCTCGACGCGCAGTAACGCGCATGTGGAAGCAAAGGCCTCGGACTCGGCGCAACTGACCTAAAGGTGGACGGAGGGGCCGCCGACTTCGATTTCCCCCAGGCCATGGCGACGATGGTTGTGTTGGTCGGGCTGGTATTTTATGTTGTAGCGGCTCTGCGTCGTCGGCTTCTTCCCCTGCCTTGCAGGATTTGGCGAGCGGCACAGAACCAAGACCCAATGAGATATGGTTGGGTGGAGGACAACGGCAAGTTAAACGGGAGGCGGAATCTTGGGAGCGCGAGGGAGCGACAGAGGTAGGCGGGATTGGATCTGGGCAAAACGAAGGGCACAGGTCGGCTGGCAGGTGATTTGGAGGGTAGTTGTGGTTTTGATGGGGTCGTACCGGGCAGGGAACGCGGGAAGGACGGGAGATTGGGGGTCTGGCAGAAGAAAATAGAAAAGGCAAAAAATAGAACCCGGTAAGCCAGGGGGGTGATGCGAAATGGGGTCAAGGGGCAGCGAGCGCGGCTTGGTCTAAGACTTGCTTCAGCCCTTCATGCTAGTGCAGCCTCGACTTGGGCAGTGGAGGCCGCCGTCAGGGGTTTGGCGTGACAGGCAGCAGACGCTCTGCCTCAGCCGTGGTACCATCTGATGATGACCAGTGATTCCTGTTTGATACCTGCCTTTTGAGCTGGCTACGCCAGTCGACGACAGGACAGGTCCTGGATGAATGCTGCAACCCATTATCGAGCAGTTGGGAATAGGACAGCCCCTGCCTTCTGCCTTCTCTTACACTTTGGCTGCTGGTCTAGGTTTTCGAGACGCAGCTCACGTTCAATCTTAAATGAGGGGTTCCTCCAAGTCAGCGCTTCAACCCAGTCCCCGCCCCTCCGAGTCAGGTGGGGTTACTCGCGCGACACAACAGCAAGCAAAAAGCACCAACCTGCAGCCAAATACCACCAGCCACACCCTCGAGGCTACGTGGCTTGAGAGGCAGCAGCAACTGCAACCCACCCAGGATGGAGTCCTCCACCCTGTGAGGGCAGAGCTCACCGACGCCAGCTGGCGGAACCACCAATGCACTGCTCCGCGCCCAACGACGACCGAATATTCTCGAGCCGATTCCGCTGCTCATCAGCATGACCGGCTGCAGGCGAGGCTGAGCTCACATACCACCACCTAGCCGTTGTCCGACGCCGTCGAGAGCCCCCCCAGCGACGCCACCCAGTAGGCTTTGCGAAGCCCCGCCATCTGTCTCCCCGCCCTCGGCTTGCGCTGCGCAGCTTGTTGCTGGGCTGCTGTGGCCAGATCGTCTTTGCCTGCGACCGACAGCCACTGCCTGCCATCAAAACCAACCCACTCCACCCACCCGCCACCCGTCCTCGACCTCGAATCCCGAGCCGAGCTCCTTTGCTGCGTCTCAACACACACCAGGCCATTTTTTCCTACTTTCTGTTTTCTGGCGACCGCAGTCCGTTGCCTTAGCGCACCGTGCCCGCGCTCCCACCCTCGGTCGCACTCAAAACCGCGGCGCCAAGACAGCTTGATCCTCGCCCTAAACAACACCATACCCCCCGTCTGATATCTGCTCCGCCTCGCCACACCTAACCATGGCGGCCCCTGATGACGGCTACGGCGGCCAGCAGCCGTACGGCCAGCAGCAGTCGCCCTACGCGGAGCAGGGCTTCGATGCACAGGGCGCCCCGCCTCCGCCCCAAGGCGCCCCCGCCGGCGCCGACGCCGGCAAGAAGAAGAAGCGAAACTATGCTGCTGGCGCATTCGACGTCGGCGTTGGCGCCAATGTTGGGCCTGGCGGTGCTCCTCCCATGGGCGGCGGCGCTGCCCCGCAGTACGGCATGCCTCCAGCCCCCGGCGCCCCGGCCCCCTACGGCGCCGCCTACCCGCAGCAGGATCCGCAGCAGGCCGCCGCGTACGGCGCCCCCCAGCCCTTTTCGCCTCAGCAACCTCCCCCCGGCGTCGGCGGCTACCAAGCCCCTGAGCCCTACTACCCTGGCGCCGCCGCTCCCGGCCCCGGCACCCCCGGCATGGGCCCCGGCGGCGTCGGCGGCCTGACCCAGGGCATGGCGGGTATGCAGCTGGGCCCGGGGCAGCAGCAGCCCCAGATGCCCCCTGCCCAGCAGGCGCGTTCTGGACCCCTGAACCAGCTCTACCCGACCGACCTGCTCAACCAGCCCTTCAACGTGTCGGAGCTCGACTTCCCTCCTCCACCCGTCATCCTGCCGCCCAACTCTAGCGTGACCACTTCACCTCTGGCGAACTGCTCGCCCAAATACGTCCGCTCGACCCTCAACGCCGTACCTACGACACACTCGCTTCTGAAGAAGTCCAAGCTGCCGTTTGCCCTGGTCATCCAGCCCTACGGCTCACTGCATGACCTGGACGACCCCGTGCCCATCGTGCAGGACCAGGTTATTTCGCGGTGCCGGCGGTGTCGCTCGTACATCAACCCCTTCGTTACGTTTCTAGACCAGGGCCACAGGTGGCGCTGCAACATGTGCAATCTCACCAACGACGTGCCCCAGGCCTTCGACTGGGACCCCGCCGAGCAGAGGAGCGTCGACAGGTGGCTGCGCCCCGAGCTCAACCACGCTGTCGTCGAGTTTGTCGCCCCGCAGGAGTATATGGTGCGCCCTCCCCAGCCCCTCGTCTACCTCTTCCTGCTCGACGTGAGCTTCGCCGCAGTGTCGACTGGCCTCCTGGCCACCAGCGCCCGCACCATCCTCGACAGTCTTAACCGGATTCCGAACGCGGACCGACGCACGCGCCTTGGTTTCATCGCAGCCGATTCGAGCCTGCACTACTTCGCCGTGCCTAAGGACAGCGAGGAGAACGGGGAGACAAACATGCTCGTCGTGAGCGATCTCGACGAGCCCTTCCTGCCAGTGCCCCAGGAGCTGCTTGTCCCGCTCACCGAGTGCCGGCAGAGCATCGAGAACTTCCTGACCAAGCTGCCCGACATGTTTCTCAACACCACCAACAACGGCTCCTGCATGGGCTCGGCCCTACGCGCCGGCCACAAGCTCATCTCGCCGCTGGGAGGCAAGATGGTGGTCCTCAGTGCGTCGCTGCCCAACGTGGGATACGGCAAGCTCGATATGCGCGAGGACAAGAAGCTTCTAGGCACATCCAAGGAAAACGGCCTCCTGCAGACGGCAAACAGCTTTTACAAGAGCTTCGCGGTCGAGTGCTCCAAGAATCAGGTCTCAATCGACATGTTCCTTTTCTCGTCGCAGTACCAGGACGTGGCTTCGCTGAGCAACCTGCCCAGATACACGGGCGGTCAGACGTGGTTCTACCCCGGGTGGAATGCCGGGCGGCCGGAGGATGCCATCAAGTTCGCGTCCGAGTTTAGCGACTACCTGTCGTCCGAGATCGGGCTGGAGGCGGTGCTCCGCGTGCGCGCGACGACGGGTCTGCGTATGAGCACGTTTTACGGCAACTTCTTCAACCGAAGCTCAGACCTGTGTGCCTTCCCGGCCTTCCCGCGCGACCAGTGCTACGTGGTCGAGGTGGCCATCGACGAGACGCTGGGCAAGAGCGTGGTGTGCATGCAGACGGCGGTGCTGCACACGACGTGCAACGGCGAGCGGCGCATCCGCGTCATGACGCTGGCGCTGCCGACGACGACCAACCTGGCCGACGTGTACGCGTCAGCCGACCAGTGCGCCATCACGACCTACTTCAGCCATAAGGCGGTTGAACGGGCACTCAGCAGCGGCCTGGAGGCGGCGCGCGACTCTCTACAGAGCAAGGTGACGGAGCTGCTCCAAACGTTCCGCAAAGAGCTCGCGGGCGGCAGCATGGGCGGCGGCCTGCAGTTCCCCTCCAACCTCCGGGCCCTGCCAGCGCTTTTCCTGGGCCTGATCAAGAATGTGGGCATGCGCAAGTCGGCGCAGATCCCGTCGGACCTGCGTTCGGCAGCGCTCTGCCTGCTGTCGACGCTGCCCCTGCCGCTTCTCGTGCAATACATTTACCCCCGACTCTACTCGCTGCACGACATGCCAGACAACGCGGGCATTCCGGACCCGGAAACGAGCCAGACGGTGCTCCCGCCGGCCATGAACTTGTCGTCGGAAAGGTTCCAGTCCTTCGGCCTGTATCTTATCGACGATGGGCAGGTGCAGTTCCTCTGGGTCGGCAGAGATGCGGTGCCGCAGCTCCTGATGGATGTCTTTGGCGTGGGCGATCGAGCACAGCTGCGGGTGGGCAAGGGCAGCGTGCCCGAGCTCGACAACGACTTCAACGAGCGTGTGCGGGCCGTCATCGCCAAGAGCCGCGACTACAAGTCGCGCGGTGTTGGCAGCATAATCGTGCCTCACTTGTATGTTGTCCGTGAGGACGGCGAGCCCAGCCTGAAGCTGTGGGCGCAGACGCTACTGGTGGAGGACCGCGCGGACCAGGGCATGAGCTATCAGCAATGGATGGGGACGCTGAGAGAAAAGGTAAGCTAAGAAAACCTGTTGACTCCTCTCTGGCTCATATTTGGGCACTGATACTAATCTGCCATTTACCAAACAGGTTGTGCAGTAAAGAGTTGAATCCAGACAAGATCAGATATTGAAATAAAAAGAAAGAGGCAACTTTAATGAGATGCGGTTGCGTGTTCCAGCGCGTTTTAGTCTATAGACGGGCCGCCTAGACACGGGTTTTAGTCCACACCACACACACACACACACACCTGGGAGGGAGGGGCGCGGGAGAGAAAGCGTCAATACTCTCAACGTTCTGGTGTGCACGTGAAATGCCACCAGGGTTTTTGACCACTACACGCCAACTACCTACCAGTTACCTACCTAGGTACCTATACCTACGTACCTACCCGCCGGCCCCTATCACTTCTGATCGAGCCACTTAGGTGTGTCTGTTGGCAGCTTCGTCACATGATGTGACTCGAGATGCATGAGGCCGGCAGGGGCATATGAAGGAGGTCACCCAGGAGGCGGCCGGGCAACTGCAGCCTTCATATTGTCTCTTGTCGACGGCCACCTCGTGGCTCCGGGGTGCAGGAACCTCCCCGGTAATGAAGTTGCACGGCGTTGGTCTTTCGAGGGCCGACAGTTGATCACCTCAGGGAAATGGCAGCGCCTCTGCGGGAAATCCGGTTATGCAAGTCGCCCGGCAAACGTGACGGGGGCGCACGCACTACCGATGCGGCCAGGGGGCCTGATTTGAGGTATATCATCACGCCGCAGAGACGGCACGACGAGTCGGCGACATGTTTAAGTAGGTCGGCAGGTGGAGCAGCACAGAGAGCGACGGACGCGATTGGACAGAGAGGGCGACGGCCGCCCCCACTATCCCCCGGGGACCGGGCTTGGGAGACGGGCTCGCTCTCTCTTGGGCCAGTCATGAAACGGGCTCCGGTGTGACTGAAACGCGGGCGGCTAGGAAAGCATGCGCCAAAGAGAGAGCTTGAGAGCAGCAGGGCCGGATAAGGGCGGCTATGCGGTCATGCCATGCAAGCATGAAAAGCCAGCCCGAGTTGGCGGTAGGCTGATCAAGGCAGGACAAGGACTAAGAGGCCCTTGTCGGCACGATTCGTTTGCGGCACACGACCCCAGCCAATGGCGGCGGGGCGCTGTGGGTGGGCTAAAAGGTCCGATGCAGTTGGGTTGATCACGCTGCAAATGAAGGGAGGAGTGGCCAGCTGAAGGGGATGAAAGAAGGATGGAATGAAGACAACAGCTTGACGGGGCGGCGATGCAGGCTGGGCCGTGTCTTTGTCTCGTGCAGATCTTTTCATTGTTCGTGGCAAGTAGATAGACGCAGTGGAAGGCACGACCGCATCGCCAGCTGGAGATTAACTCCAGCCAGGAACCAGCTCAGGCAGGCAGCACAACGGCCTGGGCCTGGCCTGGCCTCTTCTGGCGACCCCTCCAAAAAAAAAAAAAAAAAAATGCGCCCATCAGCCACTAAAGTAGGGCAGGTTGCAGTTGGAGCGGCCGCACGGGTGCACTAGCGCGAGCTGCTTGCCCCTCACTTATGTCTAGTGGTCTTGGGTGCTGGTTCCATGCCAGGACAGAAAATACCCCGCCCCGCCATGGGAGCCCACAGCAGAGCCAGCAGCGCAATCCGTCGTGGCAGGTGGGTTCAACTCGGTGCTTGCTCCTGGGCTTCGATTTCCAGACTGTCCGCTGCTCATGTCGTTTACTCGCTACGGTGTGCGTGCTACCCACCCCAATTTGATAGGCGACCGACACGTTCCCACACACGGGCAGACCGCTACCGTGCCGTGTGCTCGCTGGACTGATAGAAGGTCGCAAGGGAAAAGGGGGCGCACCCACACTCTGGTCGTTTTGGGACCGTCCACCGCTGTCCAGGTCCCCAATAGGAGGCAGAGACCCGCGAAGGGAGGGCGCGCTTGGACGCTGGGCTTGACGATCCAACAAACACCACGACCTGTCTGCTGGCCTGGTCCCTTTTCTGTCTCGGCCGCGTACGCCTTGTCCTGTCGCTTTATTTCGTCTGCCTTTATTCCCGCTCTCTCCCGCCGTTTCCCATTCCCCCTTCTCTCCATCCTTCTGCCCTTTCTAGCCTCTCCGCCCTCTCACTGTGTGGTTTTTTTCTGCCCCTTCTCTCATTGTTCCACCAGCCTCGGCTTTGTTTGCCGCACGCCGCCTTTTTTTCGACCCTTATTTGCGTCTGCGCTGGCCAGTTCCGGAGAGGATACCCTGACTTTCTGCCTGCCGCGCTCGCTCCCACGTCCTTGGCTCCTCCACACACCCCGTTGTGCAACTGGACCAGAACCAAACCCCCCCCCCGCCCTCTTCTCGGCTCTCGACCCTTCAGCTAAACACAACCACCTTCCACCACCACACTTTGCCAACACCGCCCAAACCCAAACCTGACCCCCGCTGCCCCGCGGCGCCTCACAATTGATACTGAGAGCCGGCCATCGAGCCCGCCCCCGGCGCCGTCATGTCTCGAGCCGCCAACCCGCCCAGCAACTCGGGGTCTCGCAAGATATCCTTCAACGTCAGCGAGCAGTACGACATCCAGGATGTCGTCGGCGAGGGTGCCTATGGAGTCGTCTGGTATGTCGTTGCTGTCGCCGCCGCCACGGCACCGTTGACCACAACTGACGGCCTACCTCCTCTTCCTTTTAGCTCCGCCATCCACAAGCCCTCGGGCCAAAAGGTCGCCATCAAGAAGATCACCCCCTTCGACCACTCCATGTTCTGCCTAAGAACCCTGCGCGAGATGAAGCTGCTTAGGTACTTCAACCACGAGAACATCATTTCCATTCTCGACATCCAGAAGCCCCGGAGCTATGAGACCTTTAACGAGGTTTACCTGATCCAGGTACGTTGTTTTCCGTTGCCTCGTCGGCAACTATTTACCATCTATTGCTACTCCGCTTGCTAACCTCGACCGCCGCTGCCGCCACCGCTACTTTACAGGAGCTCATGGAGACGGACATGCACCGTGTCATCCGCACCCAGGACCTTTCGGATGACCACTGCCAGTACTTTATTTACCAGACCCTGCGCGCGCTCAAGGCCATGCACTCGGCCAACGTCCTACATCGCGATCTGAAGCCTTCCAACCTGCTGCTCAACGCCAACTGCGATCTCAAGGTCTGCGATTTCGGCCTGGCCCGCTCCGCCGCCTCCCAGGAGGACAACTCGGGCTTCATGACGGAATACGTCGCCACCCGTTGGTATCGCGCCCCCGAGATCATGTTGACCTTCAAGGAGTACACCAAGGCCATCGACGTGTGGTCCGTCGGCTGCATTCTCGCTGAGATGCTCAGCGGCAAGCCCCTGTTCCCCGGCAAAGACTGTAAGTTGCTGCCGCCTCCGTCCCATGTGCTGCGCGATTTCTTGCCGTCTCGTTTTTGCTTCACCCTCTTGATCTGTAGCGAGGCTGCGCGATGGATCGGACCGCAACTAACAAAGCTTGCACACGGCTCTAGACCACCACCAGCTCACTCTGATCCTGGATGTCCTCGGCACGCCCACGATGGAGGACTACTACGGAATCAAGTCGCGTCGCGCCCGCGAGTACATCCGCTCGCTCCCCTTTAAGAAGAAGGTGCCGTTCCGGACCCTGTTCCCCAAGACGTCGGATCTCGCGCTCGACCTTCTCGAGAAGCTCCTGGCCTTCAACCCGGTCAAGCGCATCACGGTCGAGGAGGCCCTGAAGCACCCGTACCTGGAGCCCTACCACGACCCCGATGATGAGCCGACGGCGCCCCCTATCCCGGAGGAGTTCTTCGACTTTGACAAGCACAAGGACAACCTCAGCAAGGAGCAGCTGAAGCAGTTCATCTACCAGGAGATCATGCGGTGATATCGTGTCGCCCGCGGCGCTTTATAGAGAGGGATCTGGTGGACATTGGGAGGGGGGTGTGGAGCGACTGGCCCTCGTGGGCCCCGGCACCTGTCGCCTCAGGATTGCCGTTGCGCTGAACGTCTGGCCACGAGGTTTCCTGTTGGATGATTGATACCATTTGTCGGAGGATTACGGGTCTGGGCTGGACTTTGGGCGGGCGGAGCCTTTACCGCAGGCGGGCCTCGCGTGTGCCGCGCTGGTGTCGGGATGCGCCCGCCGGCCAAGGTTTTAGTACCTAATCAAATAGCCCCAGAGAGTGTAGTATAAAGGCTGGTGAGGAGTGAGTTGCCTCTGGGAGAGCGGGGTAAACGCTTGGGGGCGGATCTGTCTCTCTTCTTGATGATTGCAATCTATTTCTTTTCGGCTCCCTGTCTTGCACGGCGGCTCGTGGTGTTTCTGGTCTCTTTTTGCGGCCACTTTACCCTTTAACCTTGGGGACCCACTGTCTTGGCCCTTTCTTGACCGCTTCGCTTGGAGCCATGCAAGGCCCGGCGGGAGCGGTGATTTTTCGAATCTGATGGAGCTTGCTGCAGTATTTCCAAAGCGGTAGAGATTGGGCCGGAACCGCGTTGCTCGTAGGGACAAGGAAGATAAAGGACCAAGAAGCGGCAGGATGGAGGAAACAAAAGGTATCAAATTCGTGGTCTCGAAATGGCTCTGTAATATACTTTGAATCTGACTATGTAGGTGGGTATCATGGTTTTGTGTGTGTGTGTGCGTGCGCTTGCTTGCGCCTTTTGAGTCTCGCGCCCAAAGGGGGTTTCCCCTGGCCTCCTCATCCTAGGCTTTCTTCGTTTCCGTCGCCCTTCCACGGCGGCAGGAGAAGGCGCCGGGCCCCATTCCCTTTTCCTTTCGAAATCAAAACATGACGTTGAGATGAAAGCGACTGACTGTGTGCGTGGCCTGGCTGCACGCACTGGTTGTGCGTGAATACATAGTATAATATGGAGAGCACGGTATCCATCGACTGAATCCAAAAAGCAAACAAAAACGAACAACACATGCTGGGTTAGTTCCATTCTCGCAAACAAAACAGATCGCCGTCCTGTTGGAGTCATTAGCCATCACCGCCAACCGTCGGCGCTCATACGAAAATTCACCGACAATACGCCCCCTTTCCCCCCGCTAGTCCTTGGCCCCGATGATCCACAGCTCAACGCCGAGGACGCCAAACTTGTCGCCCTGGTCGCTGAGGGGCTCGTTGCCAAAGGTCAGGGACCGGGCGCTGACCCCCTTCTCGAGCGAGTCGTCGAGCCAGAGCCCGTACTTGCCGTCGCCGCCGCCGACGCTCAGCCACAGCGGCTCGCAGTAGACGTAGTACTCGTTGACGCCCGAGTACGGGAACGCCTTGAAGCGGATCGAGGGCGAGGCGGGGGGCTGCGGCGGCGTCAGGAGGCCGTGGTTGCGGCCGTGGCCGGCGCCGGGCTCGTCGTCGGCGTGCAGGTGGTACTCGCTCGTGCCGTGCGTCTCGAGGTCCGTGTCGTATATGGGGACCAGCTTTGGCGGCGCCGCAGCGGGGACGGTGGTGGTGCGGCCCGTCAGGTTGGTCGTGTCGGCCGAGGGCGGGGGCGGCAGCGAGGCCATGACTGAGGCGCGCCACAGGAAGCACTCACCGGTGCCAAAGTAGTGCCCTGAAATGTGTGGCGCCTCAGAGAGGTAGGCGCCAAAGGTCTGCAGGAGAAGGAAGAAGGGGATGTCAGGAACTCGGTTGCTACAGGGTAGCCAAAAAAAAGTGGGAAGAGAACAGGAAAGGACAATCAAACGAACCTCTCCCTCGTCGTCGCGCACAACCAGCACGAAGCCGCCGCGGCGGCCTCTGTACTCGGCCGACTTCTCGTACAGGGTGGCGAGGCTGGCGCCGTCCTGGTCGAGGCTATAAACAAGTTTCCAGTCCTCCTCAATGCGCAGGCGCTCGGGCACCATGATGCGGATCTCCTCGGCCACGGGGCCCGTCAGCAGGCGGGCCGAGGCCGGGGTGTCGTCGCGGAAGCCGCGCAGCACGAGCGGGCTTAGGGGCGGCGGCTGCAGCGGCGAGGGGCTGCGGCGGCGGGGAGCCCTGCTCGCCTTTCGGCCGCGGGGGTTGTAGACGCCGTTGACGCCTTTCTGGTCGCCGTCGTCGTCGTCATCGTCGTCGTACCGGTGGTGGTTGTGGTGGTTGTGGGACGTCATGCTGCCGTTGGGCTCGCTCGACAGGCGGCGGATTAGGCCGCCAAAGGCGCTGTATAGGCCCGAGCCGAAGTAATTGGACGAGCCGCCCGAGGTGGTGGTGGTCGGGGTGGCGGCTCCCGAGGAGGAGGGCGGGGAGTATGTGGTCTGGTAGTGGAAACTCATGACTGCGGGTGGGCGGTGGGAGACGGCGGCAGTAGCCGTGGTGGTGATGATGTTGATGGTGATGCTGACGGTGGTGATGTCGGACCAGGATCGCCAGGGTCCGGTCGTCGACTTTTGTACTGGCGGCCACACGAGCAAGGACAAGCTTTGGCTTGCATGGATCGAAACGAGGGTGCGCTGAGGCGGCGTAGGGAGGATGGTGTCGCTGGCGCGGCGATGGAAGTTGCCCAATGCACGGATGGCGGCTTTCCCGGGGCCTTCCTTGCCTTGGCTGCAAGTGCTGGGGAAGGGCGTGCAGTCTCAGCAACACGTAACGCAGCGGCGGTGTCCCCGCACAAGCTCTGCCAATGGGCCCAGGCGATTGACTGCCGCTATCGATCGCTATCGATGGGTGGACAGCCCTCGAGTGGGCAGCCCTCCCGCCAGGTCCATGCGGCGGGTGGGGCCAGTGCCTGGGCTAACAATATCGTCGGGTCGCCCCTGCCGTTTATGCTCTCGCGCTCTCTGCCCAACCCGTCTTTACATAACAGGCTGCTCTGCTTGACAGCTTGACACATCCATCATCCCACATTGGTCATGTATTTGCTAATGCCCGCCCAAACTCCCTCGGGACTGGGCGTCGAGGCGCACACGTCCGGCTCGAACCCAAACGACGTCTGCAGGAAGGCCTTTGTTGTTGGTCCGATCGTGGCAACCAGCCGTCTGCTACCGTGGGTGCCCGTCGCGCCTAGCAGCCCTAGCCCGCGTAGCATGCTGTCGCACCCCGTTGGCGAGAACACCACCGTCCACAGCTCGCACCGCCCCTGCTCTTCAACCCGCGCCAGCCTCGCCGCCAGGTCTTGCTCGAACGACGCCATCACCACGGTCCCGTAGACGACCACCTCGTCCACCCGCACCCGCCTGCCGGGCGCCAGCCCGTCGTCCATCAGCACCCGCGGGATCACGTCCCGGCGCTGTTCCCCGACTAGGAACAGGAGCGGTGGCTTGGTCGCCCGGTCCCGATACCAGCCGCCGTAGTGGTCCAGGATGAAGGGCGCCAGCATCTCGCCGTTGCCCGTGTGCTCGCCGTAGACCTGGAGCCCAGGCTGCTGAGGCACCGCCCTGAGGGCTCGCGTCGTCGCCGGCCCGACACTGTAGATGGGCACGTCTTGGAGGTGTGGCCACCCAGCTCGGCCCGATCCTGCTGGTGTTTTCCGTCGTGCATGTTGAGCCATCAAAATTTCCACGAATACCGGTGTATTTCCTAGGAAAAGCCAGCCATACCTGCTTCCTCAACTAGCTTCGCAAGCGCCTCTACAGCGCGCTGCGACGTAAAGACGAGACCGCCATACTCGGACTCGGGCGCCGTGCCGATCTTGCCGGCCCTGAGCAGTGATTTCACGCGGTCCATGCCGGCGTCCAGAAACCGGTGCTCCATGACGGGAACGAACTCGGGCTCAAAGACGACGCCGTCCAGAGGCTTCGAAAACTGCTCCTCGTAGGCATCGCCGGGGCTAGACTTGGTCTTGAGCAGGAAGACGGGAACCCTCCGTTCGGTCGAGTCCTGGGAACCACTCATCGTCGAGGTTCCAAAGGTGTGACAGGCGCTAAATTGATTGGGAGCGTCTGTGTCTTGTTGGCCCCTGAATCCGCCCGCCAAAGACAAGATTCAAACGCAGGTTCAGTTTACCTTTGGTGCATGTGCCTGTCCAACATCAGGCCCGCCCACCGGTTGCATGACAAGGCCTAGCTTTATCGATAGGGGCGTGCATACCCCTGTCCTTGTCGTCTTAGCCAGTCGCATGGACATAGAATTACCAAGCACAAGTCTCGAGGTAACTCCGAGTCTTTGGATTCCGCTTTGCTACTTGTTATCCAGCAACTTGACTGTGTCGTACTCTTGTTTTGCTGCTCGATTCACCCAGTCACTTCCGTTGCTCAGACCACCTGTGGACGCCAAGTCATGGCGGGAGAACCCGAAGACGAGAGGCCGAGCGCATCTGTTGTGTCTCCCGCCTCAGCACCAGCAACCGTCCCTGCGAAGCTTTCCAAGGGCGGAGTGGTCCTGGGTAAAGATGGCAAGCCGTGAGTTAGACGAAACCATATTCTTCGCCAACAAACCTTGGGCCCCAGCCGCTAAAAAAATCAACCCACCCCCAACCACAGCTGTCGGACATGCAACACGATGGCCGACTGGGCGGCGCAGAGCAAGACGCTTCAGAAGAGTGCGGCACCGCGGCCGGCGCCCGCGCGCGACTGCCCGCCAGACGTCGAGCAGTTGGGCCGGAGCACGTGGACGCTGCTGCACTCGATCGCCGCCACGTACCCGGAGCGGCCGTCGCGGGCCGAGCAGGCGGACCTGGTCGGCTTCATGGGCCTCTTCTCCAAGCTGTACCCATGCTGGGTCTGCGCCGACGATTTCCAGGCCTACATGCGCCGCGAGCCCGTGCAGGCCCGGTCCCGAGGCGACTTTGGGCAGTGGCTGTGCGATGCCCATAATGACGTCAATAAGAAGCTGGGCAAACCCGTGTTCGACTGCCGGCTGTGGGAACAGCGGTGGCGGACGGGGTGGAAAGATGGGAGATGTGATTAAGTCTCCGCCGTCTGTATAAGAACTGCTGCTTGCATTATAATCATGGCTTGGAGTTTGGGGGAAAGTGTTGGCTGCGAGGTATACGCAGATCAGATTTGTTTGGCGTCGTGTTTGATACACTCCTCTCCTATAGCAAACATCGTTCCGTATTCGGCATCTCCTGATGACACGCAAATAAATATCCAGGGCACAATAACAGCTCATAAGAACAACACATACAAATTCCAAAAAGGCCACCTGGATGAGGTCGCTCCTTATGGATGCCAGGGGCAAAGAAACTGGCACGTGATCTTGCAACACCCAGCAGAGAAAATACAATACCAAAACAGCAGCCCGGGTTTTTTGACCGAGAAAGGTATCAAAGCATAACGCCCACAATATCACATTTAGAGGGGGCCACCAAATCAGACATACAGCCTTCAAAATGTCGGAACAAAAACGAAAAGGCGCTCCCCGCTCTGACTCGAATCCTGCCAAGAGGAAAAGGGTATGTCTTCTGCTCCGTTCTATGCCGTCGCGGCGACTCGGCGCTCCTTTCGCCGACCATGCTGCCCCGCACACAAACTGACCTCCCTCTTCTAGGCCGGAAACGCGGGCAAGTGGCAGACCCCTCATCAGCGGTCCAAGACTGATCAGCGGGGTGTGGTCGAGCCGGGCTACTCGGGCATATGGGTGACGTGCGCCAGATCCCAGGAGGCCAAGGCCGCACGCGAGGTCCAGCTCCTATTCGACGAGGTACGTGCCATCGCCCATAATTCATCATCTGTAACCTCTTGCTTGTATGTGGCTGCGGTAGCCGCGGATGCCGTGGGCGCTAATCATTGTCATGCAAATTGTGCGGTTTGGGTGTGTTGGAAAAGTACGCGGAGAAGTTGTACGGCGTGGCCCCTCGGGACGACGCCGCGGCCGAAGATGAGGACGAGGACGAGGACATCGAAGCGTCCATCCAGAGGGAGCTGACGTCGATGAAGCCCGAGAATGGCAATGGGAAGGCGCGCGACGAGGTCTTCACCGTCCTCCGCCAGAGCGTCGACTGTCTCCTGTTCGTCAAGACCAGGGAGCCCATCGAGCCCGTCGAGTTTGCGCACCGCATCTGCGTCGACGCCAAAGCCGCAGCCGACCCCAAGGCCAGACGCTCCAGGTATCTCAACCGGCTCACGCCCATCACCCTGGTCGGCCGTGCGTCGGACAAGGGTATGCAGGAGGTGTGCGAGGGGGTGCTGCCGCAGTGGTTCGCCATGAAGCGCGCCAAGGACGAGGGCGAGCAGCAGAAGACCGTGGAAGGCGCCACAGAAAAGACTGAGGAGTGCTCTGTCCCCGCTGCTGCTGCCGCTGACAACGATGAGGAGAAGCCGGCATACACGGTGAGGCACTGACATCTCACTCTCACACCGCCTGGCCATACCAAACCGACGCTAACAGACGGCTGAAGTATGCCATCCGGGCCACAACTCGTAACCAGTGCCCGCTTAAGCGAGGCGATGTCATCAATCAGATTGCAGGAATGATTGACGACCGCCACAAGGTCAATCTCGGCAGCCCCGACAAGGTCATATTGGTCGATATGTACCAGGTAGGCGTGGCCTCATCCTTCCTCATGCGCCCGCGCGTTGTCTGTCGTGTCAGGAGCACACATGCAACACTGGTGAAGACTGCTGACACAATCGTGGCAGAAAATTTATGGCATGAGCGTGGTCGACGGCGACTGGGATGGCCTCAAGAGGTACAACATATCAGAGCTCTACAGCCAGGCCGGGTCCGAAGCAAAGGAGCCTAAGGAGGAGCAAGGCGGATCCTCTGACACGCCCGCCACCGAAAATGCGGCCCAAGTTGTGGACGCGAAGAATGCAGGTTAGGTCGGGCGATAGGCTTGTTGTGGATAGGTAAATAATGTATCTGATCGTCTTACAAGTCCGAGGAGGATCGAGTGTTGGCGACGGGGCTTGGCACCCACTACTGCTGCTGTTGCCGCATGCGTCTGCCTACACAGTACATATCTACCTCTTGTTTATCTGAGCCTCACGTAGGCAGCCGAGTCGGCGACCACGCCGCTTGGGTCTTGTCGGCGGCATTCTTCCCAAATCGACGCTCGGTGTCGAATATGGAAGGTCAATATGGCCGCCTTGCTCACCCCCGCCAGGCACACCGCGGTGTTCCATGTTGTGGGAGCTGTCAAGCGAGAGTACGGTAGATGATTCCCATCTGGCCCCCGCGTTGCAAACGGCGGCTGTCGATGTTGGCCCCCTGGTGCTTCCCTCGTGTGCTGAGCACGATGGTGACTGCGGGAGAAGCAAGTGGGGGTTGTGGGAATTCGAAATCGAAGTGTGCAGAGGCGCTAACCCGGATGGCGATAATTTTGACGAGTCTCCCTCTGCGATGCGACGTAGCCCTAGCAAGCCAAGGGTTCGTCGGGCAAATGATCGACGCGAATTTCTCCATCGGGAAATAATCCAATGCCCGCCGGGCCCAGCTCCCCAGTGCTCAACAAGAAAAGGCTGGGTTGAAGGCTCGAGGCGGGAAGTGGAAATGGATGGCGTCCTGGGTTTTTGGTGGTCAACGCTTGGGTGGGTAGATGGGCCTTCGCTTGCTGGCGACCAATGGAAAAATCCCCGACTCGCTTACCCGTGCGAGCTAGCAAGGTTTTTTTCCCCCAGGCGGTGGGGTCGGTGGAATCTAGACTAGGGGCTTGCTTTGGTGGAAGCTCAGAGTCCATCCAGCTCTTTCCTTGCCTGCCCTGATCCTTCCATGATGGAACCACAGCATCGGGATTGCTGCGAGAATGCGACCTCGAGGCACCTAGGCAAGTCTTTCTTTTGCACATGACTGTCAGAATGGCGAGACAGACGGCAAAACAGCCACAGACAGCAGTCAGACCAGACGATGGGACGGTCAGCCCCTGCCTCCTCCCGCTGCTGCTGTTCATCCTCCTCCTCCCACTCAGCCCAGGTGCCTCCCTCGGGGTAAAAAGGGCAAGGAACACAAAGACAACCTTCCCTTGCCCAGTAGATCCTGGGCTGGCTAGATGCCAAGAAGCACGCCCTCGTTCGTTTCGCCAAACACATGCAGGTTCGCTACACACGATCCAATAGGGACGCTAATGGCCGGCGATCTGCTGCTCGAGCCCTGCTGCAGGCGAGTGACAGGCGGGCCCCGACGCCGTTAGAAGTTGCAGTGCATACGACCAGGGGGAGGGTGGCAGCAGGGTAGCACGGCGGGTGTGCCATCATATCATGGACGACCCCGGGTGCTGTCTCCTGCATCTTCACGGAGCGCAAACAGCAACACCAACCCCAGGGGGTGGCTGTGGCTGTGGCGTGCTTGAGCCAGGCGTGGAAGCCGCGAAGCCGGGCCATCTCGGCCGAGCTCCAGGGTACAAACCTAGCACCAACACACCTGGCAGGCAAAATCCGCCAGACCCCAGAGCCGAGATACCTACCCACCACCACCCAGCTCCCTCCGCCATGCAGAGTGCATGCCACCGTCCAGACCATGTCCCTCCCAAACACCGCACACTACCAGGCCTGGGGCCCCAGTCTCCGCCACACCACACCATAGGTTGAGGAGCCGAGGGGCTAGCAAGGTCGGACGCCGCCTGGCCCCCTGGCCACGCTCTTGAACCTCGCCTCCGGGGCTGACTGCTTCGCTACGCCCGTCGTGTTATTCGCTCCCGGCACGCCTCTCTTGCATCCCCAATCTCTCGCGTCGCTAGTAGCCGATCGAGCGACTGGGAGATGCCCAATGGCCCTTGCTGGCATGCTCCATCTCCACACTGACCAGCCTGACAATGCCGCCGCCGTTGGCTGTGCGGTGGTCCCGCGCCGTCTCCAAACATACCATGACGAGATCTCCTTCCTTCCTGCCAGCGGCCAAGCGAGCCGGTTGGCCAGTCGAGCTTGTGGCGGTCTGGGATTTCTCTGTCATATATCCCCTTCAGTCCCGGCTGCTGCTAACAAGAAGTCAGACGAGCATCTACATGTTCGTCGTCGTCTGCCGTTGTTGTCTTTTTCTGCATTTTCCCCATCCAAGGCTCCCTCTGCATCCACAATACCCCCCTCATAAATATCCCGGCCACCCTGAACGCAAGCCACCATCAGGCAACGTTGTATCCTTGTGCGGCTCCCGGCAACCGCCCACCCGCTCCGCACTTATTGGGTTTGCATGGATAGGAAACCAACGTTCGGCCCATGCCTCCCCCGACTATGCTCACTCTGCCGCCCTCTTCTCATCTGACTGCTCCCGCGGGAGCCGTGTCAGCCGCGAAAAGTTGCAATAACAATAATAACAAGCACCACGACTCCCACCATCATCACCAGCCCTGCTGTCATACTGTTTCTCCCCTCCCCATCTCTGCCCCTGGCAGCCCTCTTCTACAAATGTCTCGAACGACGCCCCTAGATCGGGATTTTCCAAGGAGCCAAACATCATCTCCGCTACCGCAGTCCTCGCAGGCGCCAGAAGCCACCTCTGTGACGCCGCCCGTCTCTGTCCCTGTGCGCCCGACAGCGCCCAGATCGCACAGGTCGCACGCGTACGCCTTCCGCAACCCTCGCTCCGCGGCTCCCAGTCCAGACCGAGACCTGTGCGAGTCAAGGTTACCCGGAACCGCCCTCACAACCCGTCGACGCGAGGCCAGAAGGCGACACCCGCCAGCGTCGAGAGCGCGAGCCCCGATACCACCGCCCTCGCCGCCGGCATCACCCCCTATGGCGCAGGCTCTAGCACCTCGGGACACATGGGCCCAGGCGATTCAGGCCCTCGTGCTCGACGCAATCGGGTCTGATGAGGGCCTTAGTGTGGGACTACCACAGCCCCTGCACTGGCACTGTCGTTTCAAGAGGATATATGACGTGGGACTCTCTGACAGACGACATTTCTTCCTGTCCATGCCTTCGACATCCATGGGCCAACTCCTGCGCTGCGAGCAGTGGCTGATCGACTCCGAGGCCGCCGTGTTGAAGTGGACGAGAGCAGTGATCGAGAGCAAGGCCAGTGCTGGCACTTGGGAACTACCGCACGGCTCGCCATCAACAGACACTGTCGACTGGAGAAACCTGCTTGGCTACATCCCCTCGCTGCTCACCAACTGTTCACACCCGAATCTTCATCTCAACGGCACCTGGCCACCCAGCCCGCTGCATCCGCAGGACTTTCCCTACACCCTCGTAACCCAGCCCGCCGTACCTTCAGTCCCAGCCGCGCACCGCCAGCCAGCCTTGAGCCAGCAGGGCTGGGACCAGATCGACTTCCAAGTTGGGAGGTTGGCACGGAGCCTCTCGAGGCTGACGTCGCCGAATGGAAACTTCGGCTTTGTGGTACAGGTGCTCCCAGTCTTCCCGACCCCGCCACGCGTGCTAGACATGACGCCTTTCCAGCCTCATCGTACATGGACGGGGGCTTTCCGCGCCATGCTTGAGCTGTCCCTCCTGGACGGCCAGGGCATGGCCATGCAACTCCCGTACGGTACCATCCGGGCCGAGGTGGAGAGGCTCGCGCCCGCGCTGGACAAGGTGACCAGGCCCCGGCTGGTCGTGGTCAACGCCGCCAGCCGCGCAAACATCCTCGTCCCGGCCACGGCCCAGTACCACGAGGCCTCGAGGCCGGAGCCGGTGTACGGAACGCCGATCACGGGGTTCGTCGACTGGAGTAACTGCGTCTTTGGCGACCCGCTGTTCATGCAGGCCTGCAGCGAGCAGCAGCCGTCCGACAGCTTCCTCCGCGGCCTCAACGGCGACGACGAGCGGGGCGGCGCGACAGCCCGGTCCGCGGCCGCCGTCGAGTTCCCACCTGACGAGTACGGCGGCTACGCCGCCGATGACGACGAGCACTCCCGCTGGGCCAGGCTGCTGCTCTATAGCTGCTACCACCACGTCACGGCCGTAGTGCGCGAGTTCTACCACCAGCAGCCCAACAGCACGCAGCGCGAGATGGCGGCCCGGAGGCTACTGGCCGATACGCTGGTGCAGCTGTCCCACGTCGAGGGCACGGCCCCGCCGAGGCCGAGGGCGGCCATGCTGCCGCCGAGGGGGTTCGTAGAGGCGTTGGAGGACGGCTACGAGTAGGTCGATATTAGGAAAGAGGGGGCGCTTTTGAAAGATTGGAGTAGGTAATCCGGGTCGGCGCAGTATAGACATACACGGCTGCATTGCATACGAAAAGGGGCGTTGCGTCGATTGATAAACACAGCGGCGGGTTATACATATATATTATATTTCCTTACAGCTAGCTCTGGTCTTGGTTTCCATCACACAGCCTTCGTAGCGTTTCTGGCGTTATTCACTTCGTTCTCGTCGTCGTCGCTGTCGTCCTCGTCACGCGGCAGGCTCATGCCCAGCATGCTCAGGATGTTCCCGGCGGGCCCTGCCGCCCCGACCTGGCCCTTGAAGCTCTCGAGCAGGTTCTTGGCCAGGTTGTAGTCGATGTCCACCTCGTCGTCGCTCCCATCGTCGCTGTCTTCCCCTGCCTGTGCGTCGGCGCTGCTGGACGACCCTTCCTGGCCTGCGCCTTTCCCTTCCAGGGCGCCCTGCTTCTTGCCTGACTTGGAGTCGAGCTTCAAGGCCCCGTGTTCGTTCAGCTCCGCCTCCATCTGCGCCGCGAGTTGCCTGATGGCCTCGGTCTCTTCGTCGCCGTCGCCGTCGCTGGCACTGGCATGGGCTGCCTTTTTGTGTGATGTCGCCGTTGCCGCCGTTGCCGCCGTTGCCGCCGTTGCCGCCGCCGTTTTGTCCTGGGTGCTGCTCGCTGTGGCCGGTAGACCCATCATCTCCCTCATCATGCGGTGGAATTCCTCCTCGTCGAAGCTGACGGCCTTGTCCTCGTCGTCGGATATATCGCTATCGCTGTCGTCGTCTTCGTCGTCGTTGTTCATGTCCATGTCGTCGACCTCGGCGCCGTCGATGCCCGCATCGTCGTCGTTGAGGAACGCCTCAAATCGGGACACCATTTTACGCAGGTCGGCCTCGGCCGCCGAGTTGCCGAACCCGGAGGAGGGAGCGGCGCCGTCGGCTGTGTCCTTACCCCGCGTTCCTGCCTTCTTCCCTCCTGCACCCTGTAGCTCCCGGTCAAAGTCCTCAAAGTTGATGTCCAACCAAGCCTCATCGTCGTCCCTATCGACACCGTCCCAGCCGCGGATCGCTTCGTCTGTTGGCAGGTCGGCGCCGCCATCCTCGCGAAGGTCCTCTAGTATGATGCCAACCTCGCGGGCCACGCGGCTCCGGCTCTGGTCCGCACCGGCCGCCATCAGCTCGAAGCCTGTCGTCACTTTCATACCCATCTCGAGGCGCGCCTGTGCCGAGTACGGCGGGGCGGCAGCCTCGTCGATGTTGGATGGCGGTTTCCCGATCAGTGTCTCCCAGGCCGGCGGCGGGCTGAAACGCTGCGACTTAAGCTGGGCAAACAGGACCTTTGTGAAGCGCACGCTGACAGTCACGAGGTCAGCGGGTGGGAACTCAAGGTCGGTGGGAGACGCGGCCGTGAAGATGGGTGTTAGTGATAATACGTCGCGCAGGTAGAAGGCCTCGACGGCGGGCGCGATGGCCTTGGGCCGGTCGTGTAGCAGGTAGGCCAGCTTGCGCGGGATGGTGACTAGCGAGCAGTGGATGGCGTCGGCGATGTGGCCGGGGTACTTCTCCAGGCGGTAGAAGGCCTCGGACTCGACAAATGTCGAGTGGACCAGCGCGTCGGGGGTTGAGGCGATGAAGCTCACCGCGTCGGACAGGGCGATGGACTTTGTGGAGGCGGGGTCGCTCTTGTCCTTCTCTGACAAGGGCACGAGCAGGAGCCTGTTATCGTTGATCCAAACTCGGTTACTATCCATTTCCGGATTCAGCCATTTCGGGGCGACGTTGGCGGCTTCGACGAGCAGAAACTCGCCGTCGCTGTCCAAGACTCGGATCCATATCTCCTTGGAGGACTTGCTGAGCTCACGCAGCATGTACACTATGAGCCACTCGTCCTCTACCGAATCGCCGTGATCCGTGATGCCATGAAGAAACAAGAGGCCTTGGCACGCAATGGTATTAGCTGTCGTGCATATATATATATATATATAGACATGCTGTGCCAAGACGGCAAGCGGAAACTCACCAGCGCGGCTTTTCACCTCAAGGCTGAAACTTTCTCGCTGCCAGATGTAGTCCTTTGTGAGCCCAGCTGCCAACTGCAGCGCGGCCTTCTTGACGGACTCCAGACGCGAGAGGACCTGGCGAGCGTTGAGCTGGTTATCGATGAGAAACACCATGTACTCCATGCAGTTCTCGGGCAGCGACGCCTTGCCAAAGCCCGTGGGGGCGTCATTGTCTACGGCGATGTCTTCGCTGGCCTTGGCTGGAAGCTTTCTTGCGCCCACTTCGGTCATGGCCTCCATGGTGGGATGTTTGTTTCTTCTAGACTGGGTGTTGAAAATAATACACGTCATGGTCGACCCCCCCATTCAGCACGCCTGCACGGGTACCTTGATGATGTACAGTGGACCCACTTACGTCACCCCGCTGCAGTGGGAATCCTTTCAGCCTTGCTCGCGAGGGTGGGGCTTGTGGGCAAGCAACGCATTGCTGGAAGGCAGCTGCAAGGGTCCCTGATTTACGCGCTGCAGTCACTATCGCGTTGTTGCTGCGCAAGCAGAGCGCGCTTCTGCACCCCAACGGCTCCCCCGCTACCCACGACCTTTGCCTTTGACAAAAAGCGATACGAGGGCAGTGTAAATTCCTCCCGCTGTGCGGACGCGTCGATTTTAACCTGCCTGAAGATGCCTGGCCGCACAGTGAATAGTCTCGGCGGCGAGTCTTCGCGACGGAAACGTGCGCTTTTCGAGCAGGCCGACTCGGAACACTCCGAGGTTTTAGAGTCTGTCGCCGCACAATCTTCTCTGCGGCATGAGCCTGTAAGCATGCCCTGAGATGCCCTTGCGACTGTCTACTCTTACTCATGATACTGGTATGGCTTATAGAGGAAGCGACCGCGCATGTCAAACGGAGAACCACACGAGCGGCGATCAAGCCATCACACTTCAAATGGAGAAGGTCCCAGTGGTCACAACTCTACCGAGATGGATGTTGATCAAGGCAGCGACGACGAAGACGATGAGGGCAACTCAGCAGAGCAAGACGACTCTACCGCCCCGCTGTCGACGCAGTACGAAACCCTCCGCGACGGCGGATTTGAGCACCTCCAGCACGAGAGAGAGGACGACCTGCGGGCAACGCAACGCATCAACAGCCGCCCCCAGCTTCTTGGCGACAATCACGCCGCCCTGAACGGCATCTTGGAGAGCGTCACATGTATCAACTTTATGTGCCACGAGAGGCTACACTGCGAGCTTGGCCCTCTCCTTAACTTCATCGTGGGCGAGAACGGGAGCGGAAAGAGCGCCATCCTGACCGCGCTCACCCTCTGTCTTGGTGGCAAGGCGAGCTCAACCAATCGAGGAGGCAGCCTCAAGGCATTCATCAAAGAGGGCAGCGACCAGGCTATTCTCAGCGTCAAGATCAAGAACCAAGGCATAGATGCGTACCAGCATGACATCTATGGCGACTCCATCATTGTCGAGCGCCACTTCAACAGGTCTGGGAGCAGTGGCTTCAAGGTCAAATCGGCTACGGGCAAACTCATCTCCAACAAGCGAGGCGAGGTCTCCGAGATTGCAGAGTACTTTTGTCTCCAGGTGGACAACCCGCTCAACGTCCTCTCGCAAGACAATGCGCGGTCGTTTCTCAACTCCTCGTCTGACTTGCAAAAATACCAGTTCTTCATCCAGGGCGTTCAGCTCGAGCAGCTAGACAATGACTACCGTCTAATCATGGAGTATGTCGAGGCGGTGCAGAGCAAGCTGCCCGAGCAGGAGGAGCGTGTCAAGGCCACAAAGAAGAAACTGAACGAGGCCGAAAGGCTGCTCGAGTCCATCGAGCAGAACAAGGAGCTCCGGCGGAAGCGGCGTCTTTACACCCAGCAACTTGCCTGGTCGCAAGTCAAGGAACAGGAAGACATCTTGAAGCAACGCGAGGAGGAGGTCGAGGCATGCACAGACCGCATAACCAACGCAGAAGCGACAGCCCAGCGCCTCACCCAGGCCCTCGCGTCCGCCGATGCCAAGCACGAGCGAGCCGTAGCAGCCCGGGACGCCCTGCTCGATGGAGAAGCCACGGAGATTGAGAGAAGGATAGAGGCTGCCACCAAGGACTTTCACCAGGCCAAGTCTGATCTCGAAAACATTCGGCGCGAGGAACGTGATGCTCACGCTCAGCTCAGAAACGCCAATACGGAACTGGAGAAAAACGCGGCCACGGTCGCGGAGGAAAAGGCACGTGTCGCCGGTTCGACAGGCGAACAGGTCGCGAGGAAGCGTGAGCAGCGTGCAGAGGAGGATCAGCGCCTCGCGAGGATCCACCGTGAAATGAAGGAGAACGGCGACCGTGGCCCCGAGCTCGAGCGTCGTCGAGACGAGGCCAAATCTGAGCAGAGGCGCATGCACCAGGCAGTCGAATCCAAGACTAGGGAGGTCAGGGCCATGGAGACAAGGCTGAAGGATCTAGAGCGAAACGATAGGTCTCCCCTCGACGCCTACGAGCGGGGGGTCCCAGAGCTCCTGCGCCAGATCGCCAACGACAACGGGTACAGAGAGAAACCGATCGGTCCCCTCGGGTCACTTATCAGCGTCACGAAGCCCCAGTGGACAAGCCTGCTGGAAAAGACGTTTGGAAGGGTCCTCAACGGGTTCATCGTCACTAGCAAAGCGGACCAGCAGCGACTTCAGAGGTCAATGGAGAACTTTAGAATAAGGAGCTGCCCCGTCCTGATCGCAAACCGGACCGTGATCGACACGCGGGGCAAGGAGCCAGACTCGGAATTCGACACGATCCTGCGAGTGCTCAAGTTTGAGGATGACATGGTTCGCAACCAGCTCATCATCAATAGCTTCATCGAGCAGATCATCCTCGTGGAAAAGCGCCTGGATGCTGAGAACGTCCTTTTTAAGGGCCCTCCCCCGCGAAACGTCAAGGCCTGCATCTGCTTCCACGACATAAAACGCGGGCAGGGGCTGAGGCTAACGAATAGGGGTGGCGGGTCCAATCTTGCGACTGCTCCCGTTGTGCCGGGTTCCCAGAAGCCGCGCATGAAGGCTGACATGCATGCCCAGGTCTCGCAGATCCGCGAGGCTTTGTCACAGCTACAGACTGAGCTGGCCGATCTGGTGCGCAGACGAGATGAGCTGAAGCACCAGGCTCAGGTGTGCGAGCAGGAGTTGGTACAGCAAAAGAGGAGACACCAAGACCTTACCAAGGCCGAACGACAGTGTCAAGGGAAAATATTCACCCTTGATCATGAGCTCGACGACTTTGAAGGGTACGACGATCGTCTCAAGGCACTCGAGGCCGCCCGGGTACGGCTCGAGGAGGAGTACGAGACGTTTGGACAACAGTATGGAGAGCTGAAGATGCTAGTCACAGAGCATAGCCGCAAGGCAGATGATTTCAGGAGGAAACTCGCCGAGGAGAAGCTCCAGCAGCAGGACTTCGACGCGCGGCGCACCAAGGCCGAAGCCCAGGTCAACATGGCGCACGACGCAAGGCGTCTGGTGCTCAGACAGAAGAACGACGCGTTCGAGGAGGTGGAGAAGGCGAAGGAGGACAAGCGGATCGCCCAGAGGAAGACGCAGGAGCAGCAGGATGTTGTGGCTACCTTCATAAGCGAGGCGGTCAAGTTTATTCCTGAGCGCGTGTTCGTGCCCGACGGCGAGACGTACAAGAGTATCGAGGCCAAGGTGGCCACGATCAAGAAGCAACTGGACGCTCGCGAGAAGAGGATCGGTAGGACCGACGATCAGATCAAAGACGACGCCGCAAATGCCAAGATTGCCCACATGAACGCGTCAGACACGTTTGAGGGCAGCCGAGACATCGTCAAGCAGCTGAAAAGGACGATCGATATCCGACTAGACAAGTGGCGCAATTTCCAGCGGTACATATCGTCGAGCGCGCGCGCCAACTTTTTGTACCTGCTGAGCGAGCGCGGCTACAGGGGTCAGCTAATACTAGACCACGTCGACAAGAAGCTACAGGTGCAGGTCGAGCCGGATGCGACACGCAAGAACGCGACGGGCAGGAACACCAAGACGCTGTCGGGCGGCGAGAAGTCCTTCTCGTCCATCTGCCTGCTGCTGGCCATCTGGGACTCGATGGGCTCGCCGCTGCGGTGCCTCGACGAGTTTGACGTTTTCATGGACAACGTCAACAGGGCCATCAGCACAAACATGCTGGTCTCGGCGGCGCGCAGGTCCGTCAGCCGGCAGTATATCATGATCACGCCGAACGCGATCGAGGGTCGCGCAAAGGTTGACAAAGATGTCAACATTATTAGGTACGTGCCCTGCCCGGTCGGTTTGTTGACTTGGCGTGTTTATGTGACCAGTACTGACATGGGCTGCTGTTTCGCCGTGCAGGATGAAGGATCCTCGTCAGCGGACGATGGACGAGTACCAGTAACTTGTTTTCACTGTCAGGGGTTTTATTAAGAACTATCATGTTGCTTTTATGTGTGTTCAAGGACAAACTCGAGTACCGGATTCGCATGGCGTTTTTCGGGGAGGCTCATTCTCGGCGAACAGGACGGGGGCATTGTCACTTATTTGCTGTTTATGCATGCAGGCACCTCACATAACCTCTTTCCCTTCCTATTGTTTGTTTCGCCTAAAATGGGGGCGCCGCAAGGCAACTATACTCGATACGTGGAGAGTCATGTCGTTTTATTTTACTGTATTGATACAATTCTACGTGGGCCTGGCGGGTGGGTGTATGAAGCTCATGTCGGCATCGACAAAGTCACAAACCAAACGAACAGCGCCACCTTTCCCCGTCGGAGCCGAAGTGAAACAGCAGTCCTCCTGTGTCATATGTTCACCCCCTTGCTCCTGAGGACGTTGAGGCCCGCGGCGGCGGTGAAGCCCAGCCACTGGCCGACGGACTGTGCGGCGCGGCCGAGCTCGGCCGTCTCGGCGAATCGGCGGCGCAGGAACTCGCGCGTCTCGCGGAAGCCCTCGGACCGGTCCGCCGTCATGTAGAGCTCGGCCGACGCGTAGACGGCCGACAGGGCGGCGCGCTTGGCGTACCACGTCGGGTCGACGGCCGCGTCGCCGGCGAGTGCCCAGACGTCGTCGGCCAGGGCGGCCAGGGCGCTGATGCACTCGGGGGCGAAGGTGGGCTGCGCCATTATTGCCTGAGCCTCTTGCCACCGTCCGATGACGGGCGTGTTGAGCAGCAGGCGCTCCCAGGCGAGCGCCTCGGCGCGGGCGTTGACCTCGTCCTGCGTTACGGCAGCGGCGGTGGGGGACAGCTCCCGTGCGCGCTCGGCCAGCAGTGCGCGGGC